GATTTCAGTAAGTTCATCAACTTCTCGGCTATCCAACAACTAGTGCGGGGACAGCTGATAATAACGCAAGCAGCACAGTGAATAGCGGCCGAGATTCCATACTAGGGAACTTCGATGTCCCTAGGGCGAGGAAGTGAAAGTTCGGATACGCATGGCATCCTGGGAGACTTGCCTCACCTGGGACTGAGACAACTCCGTTACCATTTGTGGTGGGAGCTTGGTTCGCGTCCCGGCAGAGTATCCAAACATGATCAGAGTCCACGCAAGTATTTCCGAACGATCCACACTCATGGATGAAACCACGACACCTTTAGCTTATGGCAACATGACTGGCCAACTATAGGGGATGCCAGTTGACACCTCTGCACCCGCTGTTTCTAATAGCGGTGGTACTAAGTAACAGCCGGTGTTCCGCACGCAGTTGCAACAGGCGGTCGCTGTTGTCCGTACGGTGTAAGCTAACTCCATACTTACCACCTAGCTAAACTTCTTAAGAGCTCAGGCGACCTACTCGCGCGTACATATCTCCTGCAGCAACAACTGAACTGGTAACATTGCGAAGCAGCGTGTTTAGTTCGTGGTAGAATGTGCCCTTGGCAGCATCATAACTGCGATCGGTGGGGGCATGAGCGGAAACCACAAACAAACAGCGTCTAGCTCTACTTCGTGAATTAACCCTAGTTGATGTCGCCAAGCGGGTTGCGCACAAACGGCTATTCACAGGGATTCAATCAATTAACGATGACTCAACATTGGAGCTGAAAACGACACCCAACCCAGCTTGACCAGTGGCTACGCATCAACATCTATGGATGCGTACAACCAATAGTGAGAGGACAAGTCGGGCGCAGTTAATTCAACTACCCCATTAGAGTCATTGATTCTAGTTTCGGACATACAACTATCTCGATATCCACTCTGTTCAACCTGCGTGCGAATGTAGCCTGTTGACTTATTTATCTTAGAGTGCGAACATTTAAATACTGACGGGGAAACGGGTCCACGTGACCTTATATCAAACTGTTGACGATAGGCTTCTATTGGGTTAGTAAATAAATGAATCGTCAGCTGTACTCCGTAACGGCGCTTCGCTGCCGTGCGACTACAACCAGTCGCACGTGTGCTGAGTATGCCACGAGGATGCCCGCCCACACACGGATTCCAACGGATGACCTTAGGGTTGCCAGCCGGGTATACAGACCACTCGGCGGGAAAGTGACTGTAGATGGAAGAAGTACTATCAGTAAAACTAGGAATCATTAAACAGAGGCTATTAAAGGGGGTTAGGAGGGGAGTAACCATCGCAATGAGGCTGGACCTTACCGTGGTGCGATGATTTGTGTGCCTCAGTGATCCATTGAGCTACTCTGGGTGGTGCTTTTGCACCTTCAGAGTCACTCATACCAGATTGGTCAACGGTTAGAGGCCAGACAAACTCAGCCTCCTGGTCCTCCAGGTTGGGAGTTGGAATAAAGGGGCTCCTTATTCCTTAAAACGGACTCCTTGTAGCCCAACGCCAAAACCACTGCCTTACGGTTAGGTTTTTGAACCAAAGGCTTTGTTTGAGAACCCTAATCGTTTTCTTGTCTAGGCCTGGGAAACCTGACAGTATGCTGCCCACGCAATACAATGAATCTCTCTTCAAACAGTTTCTTGATGCTCTTGGCCATCGCAGAGTATAATCAACGGTGCTCTATCTACTGCATCGAGCAGGGTGAATAGGGGTTTGGATGCTATTGCTCAAGCCTTCCCATCTTCTTTTTCCCCCTCTTACGCTTTTTCTCTCTTACCGTCCCGTTCCAGCTTCACTTTTATCCCACCAGTTTTCAACCTCCCAATTCTAGGCCCTTCCCCACTTTGCTTTGCTAGGCTTTTCCCTTTTAGTTTCAACTTACATGTGAACGCAGGACGTCATTCCTGTCCTTCCGACAAGCCCATGTCCAACCAAGCGGCTAAGCCCAGTTCATCGACTTCCATTTGGAGCCCTCTGTCCTCCTTCAGATTGGCATGCCTCAATGTACTCACATTGCTGCAGATCGGTCAACAGACAGCACTTGGCCGAAAATTAGAGTCCCTCTCGATCGATATCTGCTGCTTATCGGAGACCCGCCTGCAAGACTCGAGCTCTATGCTCACTTTGCGATCCCCTTCCGGTGACACCAGCAGCACTTTCTCATTGCGCCTATCCGGTGACGATGCAGCTTCGAGCACCGGTTAAACCGGTGTTGGTATCGCCCTGAGTCCCTGGGCTGAACCTGCTCTGGTTAACTGGATTCCAATCAGTAGATGATTGTGTGCGGTCCGATTGGCTGGCTCGTTCAAAGCTTCGAAGTCACGTGGGATTAACTGGTGTCTATTCGTCATCGCTGCCTATGCATCCACAAACTGTAACGATGATTCGGTAAAAGACGACTTCTATCGCCAACTGAACGAGCTCCTTCGCCACAGAATAAGCTCGGACACTGTTGTGCTGACTGCGGATCTGAGCGCTCAAGTTGGAAAATTATCCACTGACGAACTGCATCTGGGCAAAGAGCTCCAGGCAAACCTCCGTCTAGTCTGAAGAGAGACCGCGAATCTTGGTGGTCTCATCGTGCGTCAGAGATGGAAGTGGCCGCTGCCCTTGGAAACCATCGTAAGTTCTTCCGGCTGATACGGGAACCGGGCAGCAGGAGACCTGTTGTTAGTGAAACTTTACGTGATGCGAGTGGACAGCCTATCCACAACTTGTCAAAACGCTTGTAGCGTTGGGCTGAGCACTTTGAGAGGCAATTTAGTCGGTCGGACTTGTTAGCTTTCTCGCCGGTCACTGATCGCCCCGCTCCCTGGGCTGTCCCTTTGGATCCATCCTCTCGCTCAGAAGTCGAATGGGAGATCGCACTGTTGAAGTTACATAAAGCCGCGGGACCAGATGAGCTACCTCCAGCCCTCTTTAAATTCGGGGGACCTGCTCTTGTGGAAGATTTATACGAGTTACTAGTGAAACTGTGTGAGCAGGAAACTGTCCCAACCGACTGGAGCCGCTCGGTCCTAGTCCCAATTTTCAAGGGAGGCTCACGATCGGAATGCGGCAACCATAAAGGAATCAGTCTGATTACAATTACCTCCAAATTTTTTCCCTCTGTCATCCTTCACAGACTGACTGGCACTCGTGAAAGCCAGATTCGTGAGGAGCAAGCCGGGTTTCGTCGAGGTCGTGGCTGCATTAACCAAATCTTCACCTTGCGTCAGTTGTTGGAGCACCGTCACATATATTGGCGGCCCACCGTTGTCGTATTCCTTGATATCAAAGGCGCATTCAATTCGGTGGATAGACGTGCACTTTGGGGATGTCTACTTAGAGAAGGTGTACCTGAGAGATATAAAAATATTATCCGATCATTATATGCGCGTAGCTAAGGCAGAGTGAGGGCTTACAGCAAGCTGTCGTCGCCCTTTAATATCTCCAGCGGCGTGAGACAATGATGACCGCTGTCACCTTTCATCTTCAACTTCGCTGTTGACGAAGTCATGGAAATCGCGCTCACAGAACACGATTTTGAAGGTGTGGATCTGCTCCCAGGAGAACGACCTCTTGACTTAGAGTATGCTGATGATATTGTCGTAATCTGTGGTAGTTCACAAACGTGTCAAGCGGCACTGGACAAATTAGCACTAGCTGTCCGTCACTTCGGGCTTTGCTTCGCACCGTCGAAGTGCAAAGCGTTCCTCCAAGATTGGTCTGGACTGCCTCCTTCGCTGACCGTTGGTGGGGATCAGCTAGAAGTCGTTCAATAATTCACCTACGTGGGAAGTTGTATCAGCCCCCGTGGGATTGAAGATGAGATCACGAACCGTATAGCGAAAGCTCTGGGCGCTTTTGCTAACCTATATATTTGCAGCCTATGAATTTCGTTGGAAAGGCGAGACTTTCGACTTATACGACGTGTAGATAGATGGCTTAGATGGCTCCCTGAAAAACACGATATTTGGCTGGGCGTTCGGAAAAGTTTTTGCAGCATAGCTGCGTGAACTTTGTGCGCTTTGTGAAAAAATTACGCATCGCACTGCACATATATGGCGGGACGCCATTTTCGGAAAAATATTGTGCAGTACTGAATTTTCGAGGCTCCCAAACGTGTTGGTGCAATCAAGAAATAGGAGCCGTACGCTTTTGCATCGTTTATCCTACACGAACGCATTGGATTGCATCCGATGTGAAACAGCATCCAATGGAGAGTGCCCTGTTTGACTTCGTGTGATTGCCTGTATTGGTTTATTGCTGGCTGGTTAGTGTGCAAACGGTGTTAGGAATTGTTTAGAATCCTTGATAAAATGCTCATGTACGCATCGTGATGTTTGTTAGCGATAAACTCAACGAACGATTCTTTGCGCAATTCAGATCAAGGAGAACTAAATTGCAGAGGTCATGAACAGTTGAAATGAATTGTGTCTACATGAGTGGTCAGTACATGTCGGTTAATGGGAAAGGGCACGGGGGTCTGAGAGAGCTAACTATGTCATTGCACGAAGGAACGGCAAAACAGTTGTTGAAATGGGTTCACTAGGGTTGGCTTAGTGGGCTCGCGTGGAACAATGTCACGATTCTTTTTACATGTAGTTAGGCTCATTGTCCGGTTATACCGTCAAATAATGATTGATGCTTCATTGAGAACAACAAAATAATGTGATTTTCGAGTTTTGGAGCACCAGCCTTGTGCCTTGGATTGCGATACGCCATCTCAATTGTGGCTACTTTCGGCTTTGAAGTCAGCCTCTGCCAATGCGACCGTCACCGAAGTGGAGGGCTGCGGTGTCGTTCACTCCCATTCTTGCACAAAATGATTTGTTCAGCCTACTGTATCCCTTTATAAGCTTGGTTAGCTGTTTTTAAATCATCTGATAAATCCTCTCTCCTACGTTCCTTTTTCTCTTCATGCTCCCTTTTGCTTCATTTTTATGAAATCGAACTAGTGAATTGTTTCACCAATACTCGCTCATTCACACACTCTATTATTCAGGCCAAACCTACGAATTGGTTATGCAGTGGAATGTTGTTCCCGTAGCACCCACCAAGGTATGTGCCGGAATGTTTTAGTCTTGTGTTTCCTTTCCTGCCTGTTGCACTTGTTTTGGTTACGATCACCATGGGGACGCATCTTGACAACAATACAATGGATATGGATGGGTGGTCAACCAAAAGAGAACTACACCATTCAAATGGACGAATTAACAGCCATGAATATCGTGGCCACATCTTGTCTGCATAGTAACAGGATACTTGGTAACTTGCGTGGTAGCTACATCCGGAGTTTTAGACCAACTGGTCAAACCCGCTCGGCTGTTTGGAGTAGGCCCGTTCCAGGAGTGCGACAGCGAGCTTTGTTTGGAATCTAATCGCGGGGATGGCCACACGCGCTCTTATTTTCAAAGCAACCAGCATACCTATTTCTACCTTGTCAGATGGTGTACTTGCGAGCATTATAAACACAGGCAAGTTTGACCGGGTTTGCATCCTAATAGCCATGAACTGCCTGATGGGCGGTACCAAACCTGTGTTAAAAAGACTCACACTTCCAGAGTTAAGTCGTCACACTCTGGCTCAACACTATTGAGTTAAACTTCGTAGGTCTTAAACTAACATATCCCATCTTCCCCTCATCCGGAGGATGTTAGAACGGAGTCCGTGTAACCTCCGCTCATTGAATTACATGATATAAAGAACTCTGCAGGCGCACATAAAAGGTGCCACCCATGGTTGTCAAACAGTGGACGAACGTGATCAGACTAGTTCAACATTTTAAGATGTAACTCATTCGCTACAGGCATACTTACGGACGCGTTGGTCCGCTCCACCACGCCAATGGGCCGATGAGGTTGTCTCAATTTGTACTAGCGAAGCCGTGGCAACAACAAGTTTGTCAAACACAACGGTTCGACTATCTTCCGTTAGCTGGATAATTTCTATTCGTCCACAACATCCCCACACTGCTCTCTAGTGCTATGATTCTGATCTCCACACTTCAGAATGACCGATACATGTAAGCACCCCATTGTGCTTCGCTTCATATATTTGCTTACGGATTCAATATCCACCTATTTCCCGCTAGTTGAACGTCATAAATTTTTCTTTTGGTAGCGGTCCATATCTCAACCCCATGTCCTGGTCGGCTGCTTGGTAGAACAGCTTTTCGACTGTGGGTCTCTTTTATGTGCCAGACTGTCACTTACAGAACTCCCGGCTGCTGATCTTAGCAACAATCAGATCTGCAGAAATCAGGACATCGTGGCTATCCTCAGATTCCATTGGCTGTTCCGTGGTGTAATCTTATTCTTCTGTGCGTCTATCGTCATGAATGAGTAAGCTCAAGCAAGCAGTCCTCAAAATGCCCCATTAAGCTGATCAAAGTTGCTCTTCCGTGGACTTGTTTCTCCTTAGGCAAGAAATCAATTCCGTCCATCATGCTAGTCCTAACGAGCTGCCCAGTTACTTCGCCCACTTTACTTTTCCTACCCCTCACTGCGGGATTCATCTCTCGGCCTTTTGGTCACAACTGTCTACCTTCACCCAACTGTTCGCCATAAGCAATTGTGGTCGGTGTGTCGTGGTTTACCCCAACAATTCTGGGCTTACTCTGTGTCCCTCTACCTAAACGATATTAGTTACTGGCAGACTCAATTTGGCCGTGTCTCTCTGTCAATTGCTGCTTGGAATCCGAAATTACTAGTGACCGCATCAGTAACCGACCGTCTGTCGACTGTCTTGTTGGCTTCTCCCCAGTCGTGTTTTGGATTATCCTATCTCCCAGCTACATGATTACGATAGTCTGTTCTTTTAATGTTCTGCAGGCTTTCTTGTTTAGTACTTCCACATGCCTTATGAACAAGCAGAGTTTGAAGTCGCGGACCGCCTATACTTATACCGTTGCTGGCTTAGGCTGACTAATTGCACCTCGATAGTGCGCCTACATTTCGAAGCACCTTGATGTATCCACCTACCCTTCAAGTAGTCACTCTTTAGGGCCTATCATCCTTTGATCTTGTGGTAATCGGTATCTCTGCGTAAATCTCGTACCTTTCCCCCATCAGTCAGTTTATTCGTTGCATTGATTTCAGTGTATCACGTGTTTTACATGGATGCATGACTGCACTCAATTCATAGGGCTTCCGCTACTCATTCTGACAGTATATTTTCCACCTTCCATCTCTATTTTTCCTTAATCATCGGGGTCGGTACGTTTTGATTGCCTGTTGCCCAGCTGCCCCTCTAATATTTCGCAATGCTGCTCTCATGGTGTGTGCAGGCCGTGATCAAAATTCGTTTTCACGAACCGCGTATGGAACTACGGGAACGCGAACACTTGAAAAACTGGCGCGATGATCATCCAGGAGAGAGGCTGTTGGATGTGGGTACGTTTCCTCTCGGTTTCGTTTTTCAACACATGACAGCCACTCGCAGTACTGATAACAATTCAGTGCAGCAGTTTGAGACATGCAGAGGAGTCTTGACTGCAAAACACATGAAAAATAGTTGATTGCAGGGTATCACCTTATCGAGGATTACAGCGGTGCGGCCGTTTTCAATGCGCCACGCATTTTGCCTTGCGCGTTTTTTTCCTACGGATGCCTGTCGTCCCCAGCTATGCTCGTTACCATGCATTAGAGCGACTCCATTAGTCGTATATGAAAACGATTATTGGTTGCTACTTCCTAGTGAGCGACTTCTTGACTTGGAGTACGCGGACGATATTTCCCCACTCTGTGACAGCTCTCAAACATCTAAAGCAGCCGTGCACCGATTAGCACTGTCTGTCAATCGTTTTAGGCTATGCTTTACTCCATCGAAATGCAAAGTACTTCTCCAAGATTGGCAGTTACCCACGCATGCGTTAACGCTTTGTGGTGTTCTGCTAGAACTCGTTTAGGAATTCAGGTACCTGAGTAGCTATATTAGCGCCTGTGGAATCGAAGATGAAGTTACGAAGCGTATAGCAAAAGCTCGAGGTGCTTTTGGTAATCTCCGCCACCTGTGGAGCAGACGCGACATTACTTTGTCCTGAAGGGCAGAGTTTATAACGCAGCCGTCCGTTCAGCTCTCCTATATGGTTGTGCAACTTGGCTCATCAGGTCGACAGACATAAAGAGGCTAGCCACATTCGATCATCGCTGTCTTCGCAGCTTAGCTCATGTCTGTTGGGAGCACCGCGTGTGTGATGAGCGTGTTCGGCGTCACGTATTTGGTGCAGGAAGAGCGAGCGAGCTGCTCAGCGCCAGTATATCACTCACCAGGCTCTGATGGCTGGGCCACGTGTTGCGCATGCCAGCACACCGACTCCCGCGACGTGCATTGTTTGCGCGCCGGGGGTGTGGTTGGAAGAGGAGGAGGGGAGGCCAAGCGATGACTTGGTCGAGAGGAATGAAAACCCTCACTTGGAAGTTGGCGTCGGTTGGTGCATCCCGATTGCCTGCCTAGGGTCCTAAGGACGATGAACACGGTTGGTTGGACACACTTGCTGATATGGCTAGGAGCCGGCCCCAATGTCGTTTGTGTTGTGAGTTCCTTTGTCCGTCCCCCTCCTGCTTATCCTCTCCCTTTCTAATCACGATCTCAATCGTTAGGCATAATATAACTCACTTTTGGCTGCATGATCGCCTGTTGTTAACTCTCCGTAACCATGTCCATCTGTTACTGGGGACTCAGCCGGTGTGTTAGTGTTGTTTTTTCTTCTTAACTTTTGCTATTTGGTTGACGTTTCTCGGTGACTTGGTTGAATTTATTTTGTGGCTTAGCACCAGCTTCCTCTGTGACGTCGTGCAAGCAAAAATGTTTCCGCGCCTAAGGACGCTCATACTCCGTAGGAGTTCACTTCGACGAACTTTCACGTGGGTGAGCCAGGTCGTGGTTGAGCCGGATTTCATTCGAACCTCAACTGCGCCGTCACTTTGTTCATGTAAGTAGGTGAACGGACCCTCGCACAATCCTATACGGTTCAGCGTAATTTCAAGAGATCATCGGTACAGCTTGAGTGATATAATTTCAGGTGCGTTTTACTGACGCGCCCTGCGTTTAGTACGGTACTGGGGTGCACTGACTTTTAAGAAGACATTTAAGGCATTTAGTTGTGGACCTTACATCTTTTAAGATGAAAATGACACCCTCATTGCGCACTGATGGCGCCACTTCTATTGGTGGTGTAATCTTTTCTACCGAATTGTCCGGCTTGAAGTCTCGATCAACACCTCAGCAACCAACCCGAGCTACATTTTCGATTTATTGCACATTTGGTGAGTTTACGCACTATACACACACACTACCTAGTGATCCACCCATAATGTACCTCACACAGACAATGCAATGATTTCACTCTGATGGAGCAATACTTTCTTACACCATCGTTGCTATAGGTTGCTTGTGACTCATTAGTAACTGCCTTGGATTATCCATTCTGCACCATTTAGCGAAAGTGCAAATTGCCCTCCAAATGGCGGTTGTTGATCCTCATTCTCCTCTTCACGAAAACTAGTAACCGTCTTCTGAATATAATCGTTGTATCACTCTGCTCTCCGTTGCCTCCAAACTACTGGCGTGCAACATATTGCGGTAATTCACTGATCTTCGCGAGAGATGCATCGGTGATATCAGGCTAGCTTCCACGCCGGTGAGGTTACGCTGGTCACATCTTCGTCAGGTGCTTCAGCATCGGCATACGTACAAATATCCTCATTGTAGTCTTCTCTTAAGGTTGCCCTTGTTTCTATCAAGGGTACCGGTTTGTGGCAGTGCCTATATCTGAAGGGGATCCCAGAGAAATTCCTGACTATTCCAAAGTTTCTATCCCACCACTCCTGTGGCCGTGTAAGGGCATACAGAAGACTCTTCACTATGTCCACCATTACAAGTGTAGTGCACAAAACGCTCTACCTTTTTGCTTCCTTTTAACTTTGTCGTCGAAATAATCATCCATGACTTGGCGCTGTCCCCGCCTTCCACTTCTCCTAGGGTCGTAGTTCTTTCCGATGACCGACTGTCAGATATATAGTATGCAGATGACACTTCTCTTTGGGTCGTTTCAAACGCTACATAACAGGCAAAAGTGTAACACTGCGGGCTTTGGCATAAGCGTTGTCTCTCAAAAGCCTAAGGTATTTTTTACAAGCTATGGCTTGCTCAAGTCAAGTTCTGCTCATTGCCTATCGATCGTTTAGAGTATTCCATCGCTTTATCTAACCTGGTAGCTGTGGCGGTCATAGCACTGAAGTTGTTACTCCACGTGTTAGTAAGGGTCATACAGTTGTCAATATTTCGGTCACTTAGCAGAATGCGCAATCTAGGCACAGCGGTCATGGGAAGGATTTGCAGTTCTGCGGTTCCGTTAGTCCTAATGCATGATTCATAGATCTGGCCTCTCTGTGCAGAAGAAGTTAAAAAATCTAGTATTTTTGACCATGGCTAACTGCGATGTATTGCTGATGTCTAGTGGGAGAACTAGGTAATACGGAAGTCGGTCATTTGAATGCCTGTTGAACAGGAATTTCATTCTGTTGCTGGATTGTGCGTGTTCCTTCGGTCGGCTGCATCGGCATGTATTGTTTGTCAATGCCGTATCAACTCGGATGAAATGTCGACATAATCAGTCATCGCCATAACGAAGGAGCCATGAAGGAATTCACCGGAGAGCTGAGTTGAGTTAGTTATTGTGCTTTCGAAAGGGGTCATCGGGGTTGGTCACGAAGAGTCGATGACGTTCCTACATTCGTTCCATCGTTTCGAACTTTTGACTATCCCATCTAACGATTTAAGTCCTTGTTTATTCCCATCGGTTTATTATTATTATTATTATTATTATTATTATTATTTTGGCAACGTGTGTCTAGTCAACTGGACTCCCTGCACTTCGGTATACGGATCATGGTTGACAAAAAATACTGCGCTATATCCCCTTACCGCTGACACTGGTTCTTTAAAATCTGTTCTGTCCGCACACTCCCCACTTGATTCATTAGCCGATGCAGCCTGCGAATGCGTATCTGTAAGATGAACTGTCTTGTGATCGCGCATTTACGCCGATGGCACTATGATGTAGACACTTTCGGTGTCACCACGATGCCAGTGACTTCGTTGGTTATGCTGCCACCGTTACAGATCTGATACACTAGGATCAGTGTCCCTCCCATGGGAAATGATCAACGGGAGGTTAAGCTTTGCTTCTCCTCTTTCTTTATCGTCGCCTCAGTGTATCGTTGGTATAGTCTTCTAACGGTCTCATATGCCAACACTCACCCACAGGTATGGAAGCGGTTGGGTGCCTAAACTCAAGCTGACTCACCAAGTTCTCTGACTAAATTCGCTCTACCAAGTCGATTTAATCTGGCCACTGAGTGTTTCGATTTATGATTCTCAAAGTCGATTGCATTCCATCAATCGTTCTGGTTCTATTCATAGCCTTACAGTTACCGTCTGCTCATACCATCACATTTACCATTCATCATTAAGGGTTTTTCTGCGCTTTGTTCGTCTCAGATCACTCTCGTTCTTGTGATTTTGTCGATCTGTCTGTCGATTCGACCAACCCCAACACTGTGGTATGCGTATGGAGCGGACGCCAGTGCACAGTGGGAATCCGTCTCAACTGCATCGGTACCGAATTTACGATTAAAAAGCACGGTGGTGAAAAAGGCATTCCATTTCGTTTGCAAGTGAGCACTTCTCACACTCCGTCTATTCTATGTGTCTCCACTTACTCTGCTGATCTGAAGTGCATTCTATGTAAAAGCGAATTCGCATGCTTTGTGTTTTCTTGCAATGCAACCGCTTTCTTACCTATTCTGTAGCGAATGCCATTTTCATGAACAACGATCCGCTCTGAACTGACTGTTCTACCGAGCTCAGTTTTATTGCGATATATACGCAGTACATTGTCGTTGTTTGCTCCATAATCTTGTCTCGGTGACAATCCATGGTTTGTGCAATCATTTATTTACGTTTTTCTTATGTCTCACACATTTTTGAAATATTCGCCTATACGTACTTTTTACTCGACTTTTCCTACTTCCCAGGTGGATTATTTGAATGCGGAAACTGGTCAGTACATTGAATCATGCGCCTGTCAGGTGAAAGTGTTCAAGATGAAAGGTGCTGATCGAAAACATCGCACTGATCGAGAAAAGTTGGATCGCAAGTCCCGCGAAGGAAGGGTTAGTTCGACTGATTTTACAACGGCTTCTCTCATTTGATGTGTGGGCGCTGTTTCGCTTCCCTTTTACTGTTGGTCCTGGTAGACACCAGAGCCATCACTATGTCTGTTCGCTCTCTAATTAGATGCACTTCCATTCCAGATACTTATATGACCACGTCACTGCTGGATTGGGTTTTCCTGCATCGCATTAATCAGCCTTCTTCTGCCACCGTTCACTATGATAGTGCAGCCTACTCCCAATGGGTGGGTGGATGATGTCTCGTCACTGAGTTTCCACTGTTAGCTTCGACGCGCTTCTCTCGAGACACTTTTGAGAAATCCTCGTGTACATCATTCATGTTCAGTTAAATGAGTAGCTAAAAACTGTAACATGCTACACCCTATCATCTATATTTATTCTCAGAACAGCTCTGTCACCATCTACCTGTGGATGCTGACGAGATCTTCCCCCATACCGCTTGGTCAGTGTGTCGCGAGCAACTCATTGTATGTGTTAGGTTTTCCCTCTTACGCTATTCCACAAAACTTCCACAATTCATCCAAGAAAGTCCGAAATCAAGGACTCCAAACAAAATGACCTATTAAACGCACAACCTCTGTCTGAAGCACAGTGCAAAGCCGACCTCAAAATGCCAGACTTATTACTTGATCATATTAGATCAATACTGTTCCCTTAGCCCATTACAATCGAAACAGGCGTTTCGTCCAGTGGGCGTTGTATCGCGTATGTCAGAGAGCAACCCAGGGCTTCCATTATTTTGATGTTACTCAAAAGCCCCTGCCTTTCCTGGCGCACGCCTCCCCTCTGAGATGGCAGCGATTTCACGGGACGGGAGTCTGAGTCGACCTACAGTCTTGAAGGCTATATTCTGCTCCCGCCAGTCCGCCTGCTTGGATGGAGTGATTTTAACACGATTCCACGGTTTTGGACGTCGACTTCATCACTTGGTCGATTGCAGCTCTCCGCGGGACATCTTAGCAAGCTAATAGAGACCCATGCAGAGTTATTGTCCATGCACAAGGCGGCAACTCCGCGCGGTGGCTACAATGCGCGTCTGTCTACCGGGGAACACGTGATCAGTCAACTGCGTGGTTATGTCACGCGCACGGGCGAGCAATCATGTTCGCCTATCCTGCCAAATTTGGGAATCAGGCAAGGATTAGATTGACCAGCGAATTCAAACCGGCGTCCAGGGTTTGAGCGAAGTCGAACGATTCTGCCAAATCTGGCAAACCAGTGGAACGGAACTCGCTCACATTGGCTGAGGGCCAGACACCGAAGATTGCGTGACCATGCCTTCTCAAATTAGTATGTATGGTTCATCAATCAACAGGAACGACCTATTCCGCAAAATATACCCTATCTGCTGAGCCTTGGGTTTTTGTTTTCCTTCGGTTGTTTGGGCGCATGGTTGAGCAGACGGTCAGTCTCACAGGCGAAGCAGCGCAGCAGTACAACAAAACTTTCCACCAGTAGGTAAAAAGTATTTCACATGTCTTCGTCACTTCAGGCTGATGCAACCTCAGCCTCAGCTAGTTTGAACTCAGTTCTGGGATCCTCTAAACACGTCGTGCACGACATTTCCAAGCCTGCACCCATGATGCATCGCTACTATCGTAGCGGCCAACTATCACAGACTCCTGGCTTGAGTGAGGGTGGTCTGAGCGAATCAAAAGACATACGGACTAGTCTGTTCATCAAAGCCTCCGCTGGAGAGATTCCCTTTAACACCTACGGGTTAAGTGTGGACCTGTACGAAAAAGAAATATCGGTTGTTTCCTCTATACGCCCCTCTTTTTTGACTTGGGAGGTGTACGCTTAAATGTCTCCATAAACCTCTCAGTCTGATTACTTGGTTTCAGGTAAAACGGTGGATTTTTTTCATATGCAGCCTTTCGAGCCGTTTGCTGTAGGAATCCACTGTAATGAGCGAGAATTGGACGTTGCTGGGACCTGCAAAGTCAGTATACGCTCGTGACCGCAGTTTTGTTGTAGCTAACCGTGTATGAAGCTCACCTATCTGTGATGGTCTCAAAGCGATTGTGACTTATGACAACGTTTTGCCAAATTTTCTAGCTGCATGTGCATGAAAGACCAGTACACTTGATTCCATTCAGCTAGTTATGGGGTATCCTGCGTGGAGTTATCGCGATACTGCCTTAGGAACAACAACTCTTTACGAAAATAACCCAGGCGTCCACAATGCAGAGCAAGAGACGCTGTTAGTAATACTTCTGCATTTCATCTGATGGGCATGAAGGTGACCAGCGAGCTGGTATGGATTGAGCGGCTTTCTTTAGCACTAAATTACAGCAAGTTTTGGTCCTTACCTACTCTGCAGTAACTGGCGAATTTCGCAGAGCATCGCTCACCAGGAACTTGATGTCAGACTCAACTTCGATTGATGCAATTATTGTGTTCTCTTGTTCTTGTCGATAAGCATTGACAAGGCATTTGTCTAACTTATGGATACTGTCGATTTGTGGCGGATCTCTAAATCGTTGCATAGAGCGGCAGATGCCCAGTATTGAAGGCAGTCTGTTGTATACGTGGGAATGCCCTTTTGGTAGCCGTTTAACAAGCGATGGCTTGTAATCTGTCAACAGCTTGAAACGACGGCTACATAGCGTTTTGTGAAACTCCTTCATTGCCGATAGTTCCCGATCCGGTCACAATTTCTCTTTGCTGTTGTCATCGTCCTGGCTACATGAGTGATTGCTTTTTAGCTCCGCTTTTGCGTATGTGAAATCGCTGTATCGACCCCGTGGTTTGAGACGTATCCGTTGCGGACACAATTGCTTGAGACAGGCCGAACTGCGTTAATAGATGGTTTGATGCCAACACACTTCACACATTCACAAACGTTCCAGTATTCTTGCACCCAATTCTAGACGTGGTTTTTCGTCAATAGTCTGAAAACTTGTCTACTATTCTCATAATCCCAGTGTGAACCACAGGTCAATACAACTGGCAGTTTTGATGAGTGGACTCTTAAGACCACATCAACATTCTTATTCTTGACTGCAGCTGCGCAAACCTGTGGACGCCAACGTCAGTGCAGTGACTTAGGATTGGTTTAGAAATCCCTGTGCCGTCTTAGCAGACTGATGGGTGTTGTACCGCTCTTATTCGAACAAACCAAACAGCGACTTCGCATGGTTTCCCACGCGCATACCAGCTAGGCGAACTTCGAACCGTTTACATCCCCATAATTCCTAACCTCCCAACGGATGGTGAAGCATAGCAGCGAGACGACATACGAGTGAACCACGAGCCATAGAGGATTGGCGTTCGATGAGAGCGCTTCTAACCAGAGGCGCTGTACGCTCAGTACAACTACATCAGTAGTGGCAGTCAAACTGTTCGCTCGGCTTGGCAAGTTTGTTGCAGACATAACGAGCTTAGTTACGTTCGATCATCGCAGTTTAGCTCAACTCTGGTGGGGACATCACGTGAGTCATGAGCATGTTCGGATAAGCGAGTGAACCGGTCAGCACCGTTATATCACGCACCAAGCTCCGATAGCTGGACCACGTGTTGGCATGTCAGCACATCGACTCCTGCGACTTGTGTTTTTTGCGTAACCGCAGTGGATGGAAGCAAGGGAGGGGTGGTCAAGCGATGACTTGGTCAAGCGGAATGAAGACTCTCACTTCGAGGTTGACGTCGCTTGGTCCGAGGGATGATAAGCACGCCTAGTTGGATACACTAGTTTGAAAGGCCTAGGGCCGACGTCAGTGACTTTAGTGTTCTGAGTCTGTCATCCCGCCTCCAGCCGATGCCTACTGTTTCTAAGCATCATATTACTTTTGTGGTTTATATTGTATTCCGTGCTGTTTTCTGTTATCTATCCTGCAATATTTTTATATCCTACCTTTTTGTATTCCGGCACAGTAGCTGCAGTGTTTCTCACCTTCAGAGTATTTATAATGGTGATTCTCCTAACAGAAACTTCATTGTCTCTACGGCTGCTGGACGTTGACGGTTCCGATGCTGAGGCAGACAGCCCACATCAACCTCGTACAATCTTTCATTTCTTCATGCCTGTGTCATGTTACTGACTTCTTATTTCGGAGCTTCATCAAACTAGACAGAAATTCCGCAAGAGATAAGCACTATAGTAACCGGTGAACGAGCATGCGTAAACGAGTTCTAGTTCTAAATAGACGGTTCCAGTTCAACAAACAGTATTGTGAGGTACCGGTATGTTCGGCCGAAGTTCAGTGGACGGACATGGTCATTATCTGCTTGGTCTTTTCACGATATACGGGCACTTCTCGTGGCCGACTTCTTCCTCCTCTTCAGTTGTCACATTTTGTGTAAGACTGATTTCTGGTTTGAAGTAGCAAGTAGAGTTTGCTCTGTGTAGCTGCATCTAATGTCACTCAGGGACAAAGACCCGTTATATTTTGTTGCGCTCAATATATTTTGCGTCGCAAACTTTTTGTCCAGGAACTTTTGAAATTCCGACACCGACTTTGCCTCAACTACGTGCTGCTGCAGGTCGTTCCATACATTCACCACTCTGCGTTCGAAACTGAGTTGGTGAGCGACCCGCTTCAAATCCGATACGACAAGCTTGTACCGGTGTCCTCCTGTGCTGCTTGGTGTGCGCAGATGAAACAGCAGTCTCAACATGGGGTTATCTCCCAGATGTAATATCCGGTGCGTCACGATGAGGTCGACCCGCATTCGGCGATAAACTATGGTGTACAACCCTAGTTTCTTACACCGGTCTTCGTACGGCACAGCTCGTAAGTTGGGAATCAGCCTGGTGACTACATGCTGCACTCGCTCATTCTTTCCTACCTCGCCCCGGCTGATAGGACAATACGCGGGACAGCCATACTCTAGCATTGGTCGTATTATTGAGACGAAGAGGCGAGTGGCACTCTCTTCGGACCAAGTGCTAAAGTTGCGCCTGAGCGCTCAAAGCATACGAAAGCTGTTTTGGTAAAGCCTATTCGTGTTGTCTATGGACATTAGGTCGTGAGAGTACACCGAGATCTCGCACAAAAGGCGCGGGAGCCAACGGTTGACAAGCCACCGTGTAGCTTCGACTGTGCTCACACTTACCCAGCCTCATGTATTGAGACTTGACCGGGTTGATCGGAAGGTTGACCTCTGCAGACCACATGGAGAGGCGGTCGAGATCCTACTGAAGCAGGTCACAATCATTGGGTGTGTGTACTACTCTCCACACCTTCAAGTCATCTGCGAACAACGCACAAGGCGATTGGAGTAGCTGAGGCGCATCGTTTACATGGATGAGAAACCAAATCAGCCCCAGTACACTGCCTTGGGGTACGCCACTGCTCGATGGATACCAGTCGGTTAAATGCTTGTCCACCTGGACTCTCCACTTTGATCAACGAGGAAATTCCTGATCCGTTGGTGCAGCGAGCCACCAATACCGCACACCCTCATCCTGTCGAGGGGCACTGCATGACACCATGATCCACTGTCAAATGATGTGGGCAACTTGATGCAATGATACGGTGTCGCATTTTTTTCGGCGCTTTCTAGCCGCTCTTCGTCAGCATTGACGCATTACCCATTCTGACACCTTAGCTATATACTGTTTCCTCTTTTTTATCGATGGTCATTGGTACTTTGGATCACATATTGCTGATCGATTAGCCAATCTGCATGATGCTGTTCTGTGTCCCTTATCACCCGCAATGAGCTTCACCAGAACGACGTGTCTTTACGGCGACATTCCCCTCCTCGCGGTTTGTGGCACCTCTCGGCTTTGTCATGCACCATCTGACGCCAGTGTTCGCCACTGTGTGAAATGATCCCATGAGTGGTGTTTCGGGCTAATGCCACTTCCTCTGTTCTCGCACTACATGCCGTTTTGCAATTACGCGCACCTTTTACTGCTTCCGAACTGGATCTTTGCTGTTTGTTCTTGGCCTCCACCTCAATGATCCTTTTACACTCAGGCACCAGGGTGGCTGTCACAACCGGCACATTCCCACAGTCTGCAGACCCGAATCTAAGATAATATCGCCTGCCATGTAAATTTGACCGGCCTCCTACTCTCGAACACATATGCAGCAACTCGTGTCGATAACCACTGCTCACACCTGCTTCCTCGTATCCAATCTCAGACAACGTCGGTAGCAGTATTCTCATGGTAGGGAAGAACCTATACTCTTGTGTGTGATTTATCTAACCAACATCCAACTCGCCGTTTTGCTAATGCTTTGTAGATGAAGTATTTCTGAACATGCCATGCATTTCCAACTATCTCGTTCACATTTCTCATGATCGTAAATGAGTCTGATTAATTTATTATACATTGTGGATGTTTGTGAGTAGTGTAAAGTTCGTAGAAAGTAGAAGTCACGATTAAAATTCGCACACAATAATATGCCTCGACGGGGAATCGAACCCCGGTCCAACGAATTTCCGGTCCGCTGCTCTACAATTAATCTACCATCGCCCTTTGGACATCCGAAGGACAGATACTTCGGTCCATTGGGAAATGACGAGTGAGTGAGCCAATCTGCAACACCAGGACAGGTACTTTGAGCCCATTGGCAGTACGTCGCGCATTAAGCAGAAGTCATGTGTTAAAATTTGCACACCTAATCGTCAGCCTTCGGTAGCTCAGTGGTAGAGCAGCGAACGGGAAATTCGTGGACCGGGGTTCGATTCCCCGTCGAGGCACATTATTGTGCGTGAATTTTAATCGTGACTTCTACTTTCTACAATCTTGGCCCTGCTCACAAACATCCAAATTTAATCTACTATCTCCCATTGGACATTCGAAGGATAGATACTTCAGCCCATTGAGAAGTGACGGGTGAGTGAGCCAATCTGCAACACCAGGACAGTTACTGTGAGCTCATTGGCAATACGTCGCGCACCGAGCAGAAGTTATGTATTGAAAATTGCGCACCTAATCGTCAGTCCTCGGTAGCTCAGTGGTAGAGCAGCGGACTGGCAATTTGTTGAACCGGGGTTCGATTTCCCGTCGAGGCACATTATTGTGTGCGAATTTTAATCGTGCCTTCTACTTTCTACGAAATTTATTATAACTTTCTCTGGCCTCTATACCTCACCGCAATGGTATCCATCATATAGTTCAAAAATCTTCGCTAGATTTGTGACCTACGAGACATTCCCATTAACGGCTCTCAAAAAATACGTCCACCAAAATGTGGAAACCCTGTAACCACCGTTTACTTCATCGTTGTAGTAGTGGTTGTTTTTGCATCTCACTGTCGCTCATTCGTGAGAGCACTTGCCCTGTTCGTTAGTTTTCATTATAATTCAACATTCATCGGTTCTTGCCATGTAGCTACTTATGTGCTTCGAGTATGACATTTCAAGGCCTTTTAAAAGTGGGGGTGACTCTACAACTGTTATTTCGATGAAATTCCAATGCTCCACACTGTGATAGACTAGCATTGGAATTCTTCCTACCTATAAACCATTTTGTTTTTTTTCTATCTAGAACCTCTTTGATGTAAGCCATCATGACGTCAGTTGCCCGGACGACAGCAAGATGCCTTGCTGATTGATCTCTCGCTTCACTTGACTCAGTGCTTAATTTTACCGTTCTGTTACTGGATCAGCTGTTCATCCTTCTCCCCTACCATATTGCTCACCATATTTTCTAGTACCTATGCTTCAGATAGGTTGAAAACTTTTGAATACCGCCACTGTTCTATTGCTAGTTCTCTTCGACCAATGTACCACATCTCACGGATCCCTGTATAATAATAATGCGTATATTTCCCGGTTGTGCGAGAAGCTATCCCTGGATTGTGGACAGATCATCGGTACAATGATTATCATGCTCATGCATGCGTGAAATATATATATATATATATATATATATATATATATATATATATGAAATATATATTATATAATATATACTAATATAATAATATTTAATAATAATTTGGAATCACGTAAATTTTGTTGTTGCTGAATTCTTTGTACCATCTTTAATCATTGATTATATATTTCTTGGTCCATCCTGGAAGAACTCGTGTGGTGATTTACCCGATGGAAACATGGTCATTATCAAGTTCTGGTCCAGGAATTTACTAACCTGAATGTGGAATGTTCTTGCGTTTATGCAAGACTTGATTGTGGCTGGTGGGTTATTCCACACGACGGCGTGTCTGACGATGAAAAAGTCGGATCGAATAGCTGTCCTGGTTCTCGGCACACAAAATGTACAAGTCTTGTCGCGTATATTCCGAGTGCAGTTATGTTGAATTTTAAGTGTACACAGATTGGAGTATGTCTTTTGATTTATGAGATTGTGTATCAACATCAGGTTATATTTGAGTCGTCGCAACCAAAGGGGCTCGAGCTTAAGCTGCTGGCAGCGCTCCTGCTTATGCTAGTAACATTGTTTCACAATGTTACTAGCATTCTTACACCGGTTATTCTATTTAATCTTTTCCTGTCTGCTGCTTCTTGTTTCCGTCCACTGACAAGCAACTTTTAACAGCTAATGACCTACGGTACTCCGACTCAGATCCATTGCTCCGCGATACTGTCCTGTCAGTCACGTAGGAATCTTTTGAGTTGGTACAAGAAATGCGCTTGCATCTCAGCGATTCTTACCCCTCTTTTAACGCGTATCTCTATTTTTTAACTGGCGTTTTCTGAACCCACTTTCCGCTTTATTCCTCAGTTAACACAGCGGATTTTGTCGTCAGTTGCTAGAAGACATTCACCTACTGTGCTCTTTCTTTATCGTCATCAGGACTACGCTCAAGATCATACCTTCTCGATTATACCCGGGTTAAGTGGGTTGGGTTAGCTTGGCCACAGTTCAGTCTGTTTGCCCATCATTCAACAATCCATTAATCTTAGCGACTAGACGCAGCACAAGCACCCTTCACTTTGACGATTTTCGCTCATCAGAAGCTTTTGTCGGCTGGTTTCGTGGTGTACACAACCGGCTGCCAGTAAGTGATGCCCACTTATTCTCAATAAAGATCGGTTTTTCTTGAGCACCTCTCCTTTCCATTCCAGGCCCTCTATAGACCCTCGTGTCCGACAACGAAGTTAACCTACCTCCCGGCCGGGCGGTGCGGTGCTCTCTACACGGAATTAGACTCCGCTACTGTCACGGATCCCCCTTACATTTCACACGACCATCATGCAAAGCCGATTTCTGGTGACAGCTCTGTCGACACTGAACAATCGACATGCATCTCTAACCCATGGTAGGCCCCTTCTACTGACGTTCTTTTATTGCTATCATTTGGTTATACTACTTCGTTCTGTTTTCAACTTGTAATAGTCCCTGAGACTGGGCAATGTGCTTCTTACCACATCTCAGCTAGAAATCGTTACTTTCTCAACTTCTTACTTTACGTGCCCCAGTCCCCTGAAACGTTTATTTCTTCCTGTCGCTACACTTACTGCTAGCAATGGCTCTCCCCGGAATGGTGAGAACAGCACAAGCATCAGATCATCCACTCGTTCTTCGTATCCAGTGTTCGTCAAATCGAAACAGGAAGTTCCGTTTGTTGCGCCCAGTCAAGCTCCTCAACGACTTGCTCCGGTTCGTAGTCAGCGTAGTTCGTCCGGTCCTCAACTGTCCAGATCTCCGAATCGGCGTCTTTCCGCGACAGTCAGCTCCAATCTGCAACGTCGTCGACGTCAGCGAGGCATGGATTCTTGCGTAGGCACGTGTTCTGCCTGTGGCCGGAGTTGCCGTAGCCATGGAGGCCGTTGGATGCGTGCCAACAAAGCTCGACCGTGTTGTGCGCACTGGGACATCACGGCCAATTCTCGTCCCAAACAAACGGCATGGTTACCAGAGAAACGCCGCGCGTCGCATAGTTTCGACCCCAATTCTTCAATGCCGTTTCCCCATCCCGTACGTTTGCACGTTACTTCCCCTGCCTCCGTTGTACTGTTTTTCGTTGTCTACGCTGCTTTCGTCTGTCCGCTAGGTGCGTTTGCTTATTGTCACCTTCATCCGTGGTTCGTCTTTTCTTCCACTCAGATTGACGCAGCTACTCACACGGTCGCAAAGGAGGTCGTCTTGCCTCACACCCAGGAACTTAGCACTTCGGCGGAATCCAGTCTCGGCAACGATGAACTCAACAAGTGGACCATTGTGGACAAGTGCAGTGAAGAATCGGAACTCACCTCGGGTACCGTTGCTCTTCGTCTCGGCCCAACTGGGGCACATCGACGTGGTCTGCCTCAACCCAATCTGTCTACCCACGACACCGGCTACTCTAGCGACTTGTTGGCCACCGACTTGGAGCCAGTCCATAGGGATAAAATCATGAAGACAGCACCTTTGGACACAGAGGCACCTGTGTGGGGCGAATTAGGTGGTGCGTCTCTCACTGATACCCATTCTCCTAAGACAGTGTCGACCGCTGCGGACGGAAGTTTACTTGCCGAACAATCAAAAGGATTATCGACTACTACAGATCAACCTTGTATTGTTGCCGAAATGGGGACGGAAGAAGTCTGTAACTGGCTTCGCTCAGCAAGCTTCGGAAATTTAGTCGATACATTTCAGACGTTCACAGGTTTGTCTTCCTGGCTACTGTCATTCCCGCATACTGTTTAGTTGGGTCACTGCTACCGTGATACTTCCTGTGCTTTTTATCGAAACCTCGGAAGGTCTCTGGTTTCTAACCAGCGCGAATCACCGTTTATCCTGATCGAACGGCGAGATTTCACTTTCTGTTTAAATGAATGCCTAAAATCCAGAATCGGATTTTCGTATACCATACTAGATGTGTCACCTAAGAGCTATTTTTGTGCAGCGGCGCTCTACTTTGGGGCTATACTTGATCACCGGTTGTTCTCCGGCTCAGGCAGACCACACTTAGCCCCCCACCGTGCTTGTAAATTAATTTTGCCACCAGCTTGTTCAAGTCTCCTAAAGCAATTTTTGTCCCGTCATTCCCTAAGTGGGGTTTTTCAACCGACCCATCTGTTCCTCGAAGCACATTACGAGCCTCCATTACCATTGGCAACTTTCTCATCTTCGCCTTCCTTGTTATTAAGTTTTTTCTTGCCTCAATCCTCAGAATAGTGAATACTCCTTAGACAACATTAATGCGCCATCAGTGCAAGCTTTTGCGCGCGTGGTGGGCCTCACCTGCTAGTTCGCACGATAGGCGGCTATTTGTGTCCGTGCATTGTTCACAAGATGTAGGCGGCTTGACCGTGTAAGTTTGCTTGGGGCATTTGTGTGCGACACTTGATCCCCTTCTCTTCCTCTTCTCATCCTTTATCCCATAGGGCATTTGAGGTTGTGTGTCAACAAAGCATCAATTCAAATGTTTGCTGTACTGTTGTTGTTTTTGATTATGATGAGCTGCAGGTTCGTTTTCGTCCTCGGAACTGTTCACGATGTAGCAGTCTTAGACGATACAGTTCTCCCATTCTTCCACATATTTGCTTTAAATAAGTACTTTCTCACAGCGGGTCTCAAATTGTCATTCCTGTTGAAGAACCACACCAACTCCATCTATGGGGGCACAATTACATGGAATATGGATACCATACTATTTTGCTGGTTCAACCATGCCACTCACTTAAAATCTAACGGTGCTGCTCGCATGCTCCGATCGCATGATCTGCTAAGGCACCTTCGAACGCACCGAACGGACCTCTGTACGCAATCTCATAGAACGGAAGTGGACGGCACAGTGCAGTCCACAACTGGCCACGCAAGCAGACTACTAAATATAGTGCATTCTGCTCGCGGACCTCAATGGACTAGTGATCATGGCGATAGCGGCCAAGCACTATGCACCGAGTTCCACTCCCAGCTCGGCTATATCCATCTGACGAGTCTAACCAAAGACGAAACTGTCGGTCTTGGAGTGCAAGGATGGGAGAGAGCGATACCGAAACCCTCCACTATAGTGCATTCTGTTTTTGCGAACTAGCAAGCAGAATCTAATCGGGCATCAAGTCACTGTTGGAGGGCACGGACATTGCATTATTGATCTCTCAGTGGGTTGGTTTCTCAGATGAGATCTGTCCTGTCTGCTATGCATTTCTGGTGTGATTCGAACGGCAGGCGGCCACTTTCGTGGATTTCAGCATCTTACTTGGCTCTGCCAATTACTATGTCCGTTCTGACCACCTTACGACTGTACTTGCCACCTAGGATAGGAACATCGTGCTACGTCCGTCATCTCGCGGTTTCAGAACTAACCTTCACTCTACTATTACAGTAAATGCCCTTTGCCTTTTATCATTGCTTCTTTCGTCCGCTTTGGGGGTCTGTTTCACTTAATCCACAATACTCCGGGTAAACCCAATTGCTTGACTCGTGTCACTATGATGATCTTCTTTGACGACAGTGAAATTTCATCAAGAAGGCAACTGCGAAGTGTCCCTTGGGCGCGCTTGAAGTGGGAGGCTTTGGAATCAAAAGGTGGTGATGCTAGTAACGTATATGGGGACAAGCGAACCGGAGAGTGGCGGGCAGATAACATTTGTATTTCAATCGTCTGGCTTGTTGTAGTCCGCGGGCCACCTGTCTGAACTTGCCTACATGCAGCCAACCTCGAGATATGTCTATTTTGATGTAGTCTCTGACTAGTATGTGACAGCCAAACGTCCGCACGAGATTCCCGCCGTATTGGCTTCTCAATTGCGTTATGTTTGATTAGCCTCTAACTACCAATGTGACCGATTTCAGTGTCTCTCATCACTAGGACATAACACACGTCATTCCGATTCGGTCTTTTCACTAACTTCACTGTCCCACTGCCATAGTATCAAACATCATTCGTCGAAGCAGGCGGTTCGACGGTCTGCTAGCGTACATGATAGCGGGTCCAATTTGGCACCATACCATTTGTCGCGAAGCGCAGATTGGCAGATTTCAGCCTCGCATAATCGGTGCTTGCGGAAAATGTGAGCACTAGCTTGCAGACATCAGTGATCGAACACAAGCAGTTTCCTAACGCCCTTAATGCTTGCCTCTGCCTTAACTTTCTCCTTTCGATGGTAGGTCACATCATAATCGGTGAAGTCTTGAAAACCTCGCAGACCTTATGAGTGCGCGCATTGCTTCTCTCCGTGATGCTGATGAACAAGATGAGGATGTCTCTTTAGCAGTGCCATAGATGTGGCTCTTCTCTGTTTTAACGTCAAACAACTTTATCTGAGTAAAACGTGTGTCCTTAGCATTCGTTTCTTTCCGCATATTTATTTTCCGTGTCATAAGCGATTAATTAATAAGCTAGTTGCAAGTTATGCGTTCGTCTCCTTAGCGGATTCGGTTACAAGTTTACTTCTTAATTCCTATGAATAATGATTTTCCTCCACGATGAGGAATCATACACCCAATAGGACAAGATTATCTGCTGTTCTATCTAGCTAAAAGTTACTTCAGATCACAGGATTCGGTGGGTGACTATGCAATCTGCTACGTAGATGATGAATTCGAGCGTTCACAGGGATGGTCACTCTATTCCTCCTGTTGAACTAGTTTTGTCGCGCATCTCGACCACCGGTCGCACTTGAGATTCAACTACTAATTCTTAAAAAGTAGTTACGAGATTTGCCAGCATTTCTGGAGAGGCTTGCCGCAAGAAGTCTCTACAAAACAGCAGACACGTCGGAAATACGCCGTTTTGCAACTTTTCTTCCTTGAGATTCCAGCAGCGCGCACCCCCCCCCAACTCTTACGGGATACAAGCCCGCGACAATATTACAATGCAGTGGGTAGATCCGCTAACCATTTGCGATGGCTGCCTGCCGTCAGATTTTCTAACAGTTGTACTTTAACATGACTTTTCTTCTGCTATCGTATGCGTTACTTATGTGTTAAGTTCAGGGTTGGCCCTGATAGCTACGAATTATCCTGTTAGGCGACCAATCATCTAACGGTGTTATGTACCAGGTCTTGCGATTACTAATGACAACAAAACACTTACATAATTCCCTCAATCGCTTCGGTTCCTCCGGTCTATGTATGGGAGCTCATCTCCGCCTCTTTGTACTGGAGTACATCTCATCTATATACTCTGATGCATTTTACCTCTTATTCTCGAAAGGAAGTCATCTAGTGCTTTTAACAGCCCCTTAGATCTTGGGTTTGCTCGTACCAACGCTTGAATTCCGTTTGTCCCCTTTGGTAGACTGACTTTCTTTTACCCAGCGAGACAGTCTCCCTGATTCCGTTCGTGTGTTGGGTAAAGTCGACACTTGAATGCAGTTTGTTGCGGATGCATGTACGTGTGACCGCCCTATTGGCTCAGTCTGCTGAGTATATTAGCTGTTTGATTTTATACTCGGAAGGTCCACTCGTACCTACCAAACTCGAGTGGAGCCCATTCCCTCATTCGGGGCTATTTTTCGTCACAGCTGAGGCAATTTCTTCTCACAAACACCATCCTCATCTATTTTTTCTCTGAATTCTCACTTCAATTTCGAATTTCTTATCCTCGCTGGGGCTATTGAACATCCCTTCGAGTCGTCGTTTGTTGACAAACACTTCCGGCTTATTTACATTAATCCTGCTTGCCCTCCCGGGTTAAAATGGTGATTTTGCAACACCGCTTACACTCATGCTGCATATACCTGTGATGCGCTGATGGTCCCCTGTCTTTTGAATTACACATATTCCTGTTTCTCACAGGCAAGGATATGCTTCGTCTCACCAAAGACGATTTCACAACTCTCTGTGGCGTTGTTGAGGGTCTGCGCTTGTACAACGCATTCTATAACAGGTTAGTCCTTTGTTTAAACCCCATCTACTTGTCCTGCCGCTTTGTCTACTATCCGCTGTCAAACGTATTGTTACAACTCATACTGGTATCCTCAGGGTGGCCGTAAACTTGCATACAGTTGCCTCCTCACCTGAATATTTTATTAACCTTTTATTTGGGGCCTCATCCTAAAATGTTTCTGGTCCACTGCTTTGAAGGATTGAGGCTGCGCTTTAGTGTCCTTGATCCTCAGCTACGCAACCTCACCTTTCGTGTCAAAAAGCACAGGCTAGCCGGATTCGAGCCTGCGTAGGGGCTAGACTACCTCTGCAGTATCCTTAGCCCACTTGCGCCCGGTTGTGGTTGCGCGGCAGCAAAGTGTCGATACTGCGTACCAGCGTACTGCTGATGCTTCAGTATGGCTTTTCGTTGTCTCGTGTTTGCGTACAAACTGCTCTTTCCCTTAGCTCCAATCCGCCTTCACCACCACACTAATGACACATGTTCACCATTGCGACATGAGCGCGACGAGTCTTCACCACGTCACCTAAGTACTAATGTTTTCACTTTATCGTTACTTTGCTCACTGCGTCTGTTCAATCTCTTCTCTTGGTTGTTGCATCCCTCTACAGACCGGCAAGGCCACGTTGCACGTTATATGTCTGTCGCAAGGACACTGCGGGTGAGTGCGTTGTTCATCTTTCTGACATGGCGACGAACTGATCTACTTGACGTCTGTGTTGTGAGCATCTTTTTTCCGCCCCATCCGGCTTACGCTCCCCTCCGAGTACAATCTCTTCATAAATGCATAAGACAAAGCATAATGGTACATTCGTTCTGCTTTTTATATTTTTTATCTCCACCTATTTCAATTGTATTGCTTGAGTTTTCTCACCCCTAACTAATTTGTGGAAAGGTGATGAATGGGTTGTTCATTGCGCTGAATTCCCCATATCTTTCCCTGATTTTTGAATACACTCGACCCCTAATCGTTCCTCAGGCCGTGATCTCTGTGGCTTCTTTTCTTTACTAAAAACCGAAAACCATCCTAACTGGGTGACAAATACAACATCTGGAGCGAATCAAGCGGTAAATCCACAGTTCTTTGTCATCTCTCGTACACAGATGTTGGACCTCTATCACTGGGTTGCATCACCTTTCAACGGTACTCCACGTTGCTTTGACAATGACTACATGGAATTGAACGCAGTTGACATTCTACACGAATATTTGGTGCAATGAGGCATGTACCGCTATCGCAGACTGCTTGCTTCATGCCAGTCATGCTCGACCTGACCTTACGCCAATCCGGTGCGTGCTACATCCACACCCGAACAGACGCAGTTTTGGTAAAGGATAGCAGGCATCGCATGTTTCATTCTACTTACATGACTAGGAAGACTGTTGCCGCTGGAGCCACCACTTTACCCATGTTCCTGATGGGGACTCGCTTACTTTGTTATGTGTTTGCCCACGATAATCCGTTGAACGATGAATTTTAGAGCATGTTGACGATAGCTGAGTCGTACTTAGTACACCTTAATCTTTGTTTGAACTATGTTCTCGCACGCTTTGACTTCCTTCATGTAGTGATCATGTCTGATTCCCATTACTCGCTTACCGGGCGTTTACGTCTGGTGATTAGTATTCAAACGGCTTCTTTTACTATCTGTCGGAGTCTATCAGTTGTCCTACCATTAAGTGCTGTGGATGTAACTCCGTTTGTCGATGTAACGTTTTCATTCGTTCGTCATTCTCTTCAAGCACATGATCATCTGACCATGACTACTGGTGGTACGCGTGTTAAAACATTCGACCATTGTTCTACGATCAGTTTGCTCATTCATGGAAGCAGCGTCGTCCCTTACCCCATATCAGCATGAACGCAAATGTCTTTTGCTTTTGCCTGTTCTGCTTCACACTGAAGTCGCTCCTAGCTTACCACGGTATCACGCTATCGTCTTTGTGCATATGCCGTAATGAATTTTTGCCTTGATTACGTGATTCCCGTGAATATGCTCAGCCACCGCATCTGTTTCAGAACTTACTGCCATTGCATTGCAACAGACTTGCAATCTCTCCGTTCTATCTTCAAGACTCCTTTCCCCTATGGTTCTGAGGCTCCACAGCAGTGTCTCACCAGCGAATGCATCTGATTGCGAGTGCGCGGCACAAAGCACCAGCGCGGAGTTCTGCTGTGTTGTTGACGATCCTCAGCTGGTGACTTGGTGGACATCTTGTTCTAGTCGATCGTCCACGTTATACTCTTAAAGACTGTTGGCCTAGTTCTTCATGCGTCTGGCTTATACTCCATGAGTGGCAGATTCTGACCTCGTAACATCCTTAGCTTGCTCGCAACTGATGTCGCTCACTTAGTAGCGAAGCCTCGGTGTCACCACATCTCATCAAGAACAATTTCGCTCATTATTTTTCTTCACCAGTCCCCACTGTTTACTATTCCTTGTCTGAGAGAGATTAACTCTTGGCTGAAGCTTGTTTCACTCGTTTTTCATTGATAAGGACCTCGACGGAAGAACGCAACACTGCTTGACCTTATGCAATACATAATTATTACATTGATACCGTTTTTGTGCATCACTCACCGCTACATCACAGTTGACATAGGGCTTCGTTTCTTCGTAGTCTAGGTCATTCTGGAGCATTAATCCGCAGCTTTCCACTGATGGAGCGATTTATTGAAGCACGCTCTGTAATACCATCACCAATATTGTTCTGTTAGTTTGCGTCTTCTGCCTCACAATTGTTTCTGGTTCCGTTTTACCTCATTCCTTTATAGTATTCCCTTTTCCGCTCCCTCAATTCAGTCCATCAGGCAGTCATGCTATATGAACTCACACGGGACGAGCTGTTACGACGGGTAGCTCCCATTGTGTCCGCTTGCTTGGACCAAATACAGCTTTTTTGTCTGCTTACCAATCACGGGCTCCCAGTGCTGCTCACTAATGAGGTATGTTGGCCGATTAAGAAGGATTGCGATTCATCATTATAGTCTCTGGATGTTGCTTCGTGTTCTTCTTTTGTCACTTATGGGCACTCACTTGGATCCCTTTATCCACTTCCACAGTTTCCTTCTTCTTTTCTCCGTTTATCTTCTTGCCTATCGGAGATTCCAGTTGGTCACACTGTGGTGATTCATACATGACCTCGGCGATTGGTCCCTCGTCTCACACACTTGTTCTGGTTGGACAGTTACACTGGAAGTGGGCAGCGATTCGGCCACGCAGGATTAGACGACTCAATTCGCCAAGCACCTCGCAGCCCAGTTTTACATCCCATGGTATAACCACCGTTACGCTGCCTCGAATTTGACCCTAATGGCGCAAGCACTGTGACCATGGTTCTTCTTTGCCGGTTTCTCTTTTCTTCCGATGACTATCTGCACTGCATGCCATTTTAGTTGTGCAATGTTCACTCTTTAGCATGTGCATTCTGCAGCTTCTTCTGACATGGGACAATGGTTCCTAGTGCTCGCTCTGAATCGTGCATTTCAAAGCGGGCTTGCTTTTTACAGGTGTCCTACAACTAGAGATCTCTGGTGAGCTCTATCATGGAATGTTGTACAGGTCATGATGGTCATGATGGGTTCAAATCTTCACCCTGGGCCGATTTGGAAGGGGCCCTTATGATTCGCTTTTCGTCTGACTCCGGACTCGCTGTACTCGATATGTAATCACGGTCCACAGTGCATTGGTGTCACCAAGTAGCTAAGTCAAATGCTGCACCGTTATGTTCTCGTTAATTGAAGTGTCATTACGATTGTTGGTACGTGAAGTAGGGCACAGAAGATATCTCTTATGTGATTTATCAATATCGCCTTTGTATGTTGTTGAATACTGCCTCTTGAATACGTCAGGTTCTAACAATGTGATACCAACTCTCCTAGTCGGATGAACGAACGAGACCCAGAATTATTTTCTCGCACAGCACGGTAACTGACAAATCTCGAACTCTGTGAGTTCTCGGAACTTAGCCGCGAAAGATTAATTCACGCGAGTCGAACGGGTTCCTAGACCGAACGCAAAGTTTCTACGCACAATTTCCCAACCCAAGACTGAATCAAGAACAAGACAGGCCTTTTGCCACAGGCGCTTTTACTGGCCAAAGCTAAGGCGACCCTAGCGTTGTACAGCCTCATTTTTATATCACGAAACGGTGATGAAGGGGGTTTTCCCTTGGAAGGGTTTGCGTAAGCAAACCCTGGAAACAAGAAACATGGTTTTATGTAAATGTGCAAGGTCCGTAAACTGAGCAGAAGTGTTGGAAGTTTGGCGAGAGTTGTCCGGAAAATAAATGTTGCTTGGATACAACAATGCGTGTTTGGTTGGAAACAAGACTGTTTCTGAGTGCAAAGGCTAAACAATGTGAATGTTTCACGAGTTGGAAGGCTGATTGAACGTGTGCGTTTTGTCTGATCCGAGTATATGTGTACTTGTATGAATCGAGTTTTCAGCCTTCCGTAATTGAAGCCTGTACTAATTATATGGACGTTGGGTCCCCATAACATATGTTCGCTGCATGTTTTCTCGTCCTCTTTCGCCTCTAACCATCTGCTCGCCCTCTCCAATCCCGCCCATATGAAACATTCCGGCTGCTTCATAGTCCACTTCCGTTTAGACAAACAACAACGATCCGAGCACCGAACTACGGTGGGTCCAGTTGCCACGACTCCATGCCGTTCGTAGGAGAAAAGGAGGTAAGACGTAAGCTTATAGGAATAAATAGGAGTTACCAAAGAAGTGCGTGAAACATTAACCACTGGATGAAATAAAACGAATGCAGAAGTACCATATTCGATATGGCCTCCAACCACTGGTGTGGACTAGCCCAAGGTCCCCATCCATGAAGGCGGTAGCCAGAAGCGGAATCTTACTGTCTTGGAGATTCCACCATGTCGGGCTACCAAACACGTCAAAGGGATATACTACTTACCTTACGAACAACGACTGAGTATTCCGGGATTTTTTGAGTGACACCATCGACGTTTGTGTGATGTCCTTAACATGCTTTAGCAGATTTAAAGCAACCCTAATTACTCTTCCTATCAGAGAAATTGAATGGGATCCTTGTTCCGTTTCAACACAGCGAGATAAGATCGAAATTCCTCCAAATTGTTAGGTGTGACATCAACTTCCACGTCGGCTCAGGTGATTCAGCAAACGGTAGTGTCGCAACAATCCTGCTGAACGGCTCTTTAAAAAGTTGCATCCTGCAGACTAGCCGACCCACTCGGGTATTCATGTCACCAGCAACATTCACAATATCAGTATTTTTCTCCATACAGAGAAAATATGAGGGCTGATGATGCCCTCTGAACTGCAACTAGTAGGGTCATAAACGGAGGTGATGAAAGACACCTTACTTTTAGGCGGTACTTGCTGACAATAGTAGAGGTTTGAAGTGTAACCGCACGCATGCGGGAGTTCGCTGCTATCTGGTCGAGTAGGTTGCCTTCATCGACATCGACGCTAGATACTTTGAGCTCTTGACTTAGAGCCACCAGAGAGCCGAAGATTGTAGTCATTGTCTTCAGGTTCAGAGCCTGGGAGTCAAAGACTCATAACGATGCTGTTATCTTGTACACGTGTTTCGGAGGCACATCATACACCAATCCCAAGAGAGAGCTATTGCTGCTAATTGACCGACCTGACCCAGGATGCGAACTTGAAATGAACCAATGCGAAATGAGACCCTTGGTTTGAGGGCCGAGTTACATGTATCGACGTCGTCAGATGCGATGTCAGTGACAGTCTCTTGCTCACTAAGCAAAAGGCTTGAGTTGGGATAGAAAAAGACGAAAAGCAATAAGTTGGAGTATTGTCGACAGCGTTGACACTACTCCAGTTGATCATTCCGAGAAAGGGATTTTGGTCGAGGTGCCCTAATCCCATTTGTATCTGCTTGAGGTTTGTCTCACGTAACATTTGAAAATCCACATGTGTTCTTCGACCGTAGTGTGTTGCGCACACGGCCGGCTGCAGGTGGGAGCGGGTGAATTTGCATCCATTTGAACATGGCTTACCTAACTTGTGGCGGACGGATAGCGAACCATTGAACACCAGGCGGTGCTTTCCCACTGTCAGAAACAATGTGTGGCATCGTGCTCTCAGCGAGTGAAGGCGTGAGTTTATAACCTGTCAACTGTTATATCTCATGGTTATATTTTAAGCGAGGAGAGCCCTCGGCCCCTCTCTAACCTGCGAAAAAGATTACGAGACTGTCAGTCTGGTGCCCTAACCATGGATATATATGATATGAGTGACTCTGAAAACACTTAAAAATTGAAAAGCAACGCAGCTCAATGTGTCACTGAGGTACGCAAACAATCGCATCATATCATTGTCCGGTGTCGTCTCAATGACTACTTCATAGTTCCTCCACCTCCATGCACAGGTACCTGTTTGCTAGTTGCGCTTCAGAATTCGGTTGTCACTGCAAGCTTCGAGACCGGATGCCTCAATGAGCCACAAGAATAACCACCAAAAGTAAAAGGGAGATTGCGCACGCTTGCCCGGTATCTGTCGTGTGACAAATGTTGCTACCCACGATCGCCGCCAGTTGCCTGGAAGGCTTTGATCTCCCTCTGTCACACTGCCGTTGCACTTTTGATCATTGTAGCTTAAACCGGAAGTTTAACCTGTGTGCGCAATGCTGTTACCTTTTCGTCGGACACTGCTCCTACTTGAGGTTCTCACCGCATTTCAACGATAACTCCTGGCCACTTTGGAATGCACTGCCCATTCTTAAGTGATACGTGATTTAAATCGTTTGGCTTATTCGAGTGCTTACACCGCCCATGCTATTGACGCCATTCGCTAGTCCTATCCGAGTAATGTAATGGTCCCGGCATCCCTAATGCTCTCCACTCATAGGTAGAACCACCATATGTTGAATGGCGTAACCACTGTTCCCTCGGACATTATCCAGGGCATTCTCATGCACAGCCTAGCGACCGCTTGCCTGCTAGTGCCATCTGGCGACCGCCAATCACCATTCAGATGCATCGGTGCAGCTGACCAATTCATGAAATGAATTCTCCTGGTTATTCAAGAGTCGACTCTTCATGAATGGTTAACCGTTCATTCGAGAGTCTCCTCTTCATTGTACTCTGTCCCTTAGCTGACAGTCGTACTAATGTACATGGAATTCACATGGAGATCCGTGGCGTAACCCAATTTCCCTTTATTTTCTGTGGATCAGTACTTCAAACTGGGCATTCCTGCTTTCTATATTGTAGTCGAGTTTGGTTTGAGAGGCTCATCATTCATTGTTCCCGAACTGAACACTTTATGCAACCAGAGTGGTGGTGTTAATGAGACCTATCATTGTACACTACTACCTGGTCTGTTAGTCGAGTCGTTCAGAAGTGAATTCGATCCCTCCCTCTGTCTTATTGTACTCACTGAGTACTCTCAGTTGGAACAAGCTCTGTATCTTTAGAGAAGGAAATGAGCGATATCATTTTACTGGGCTTGTTTTTATCTCAGAAGTCGGCTTGGAAGAGAAGGTTGCATCATCTTGAGGTGAGTCGATAGCGGTCCCCATCTTCAAAATGAGCCTGCTCACAGTAGGCTCCAACTACAGGACTACTAGCTTTGTTCCTGTCGTTTGCAAGCTTCTTCTGTCCATCCTATTTCGAAGACTATACCTAACTCGCGAATCTGTACAGCGGAAATAACAGGCTGCGTTCTGCCCCGATCGCGGCTACATCGATCAAGTCTTCACACTCTGCCAGATCCGCCATGTGTACCAAAAGCTGACGGCTATTGTGTTCCTGGATGTACGCACTGACTTTGATTATGTCGACATCTCTGCATTGTGGTACTGTTTGTTGAGGAATGACCTCCCCGGGAAGTTCGTTTCCGTACAGCATGCTAGGTGCAGTCTGACCTCGTGTGGAATTAGGGCTTATGGCAAGCTTTCGCCCTCCTTTGTTGTCACTAGTAGAGTTCGACAAGGATGGTCTGTCTCCCCATTTCGTTTCCATTTTGCCATTGAGGATGTCCTCAAAATGTCTCAAAAGATTTGTTGAGCGCTAGCGTTGGGCTCCTCCCAGGCAGCCGAGTTGTTGACTTTGACTACGCCGATGATATCGCCTTGCTGGGTGACCGTCCACAAGCCGTCCAACTTGCACTCAACCGCTTAGCGATTGAAGCGTCAAAATTAGGGATGGCTTTTTCCCCATCAAAGTGCAAAGCTCTTTCCACGACTTTCAGATGCCTGCACCTGCACTCACTATTGGTTGTGAGACATTGGAGGTTGTGGAGAGGTTTGCGTACCTGAAGAGTTGCATCACATCCGGTGGGGCTGTTGGAGACGAGATTTCAATGCGTATCTCAAGACCTCGCATCGCTGAGGCAATTGTGGTGCTGCCATGACATCCGTCTCTCTGCCAAAGGACGGTCAGCCGGTGGCCGAGTGGTATGCGCGTCTGGTTTGCAACTATAAGGTCACCGGTTCGAATCCGCGTAGGGGCGAGCGTCCTCGAGGTATACTCAGCCCACGCGCGACTGGTGGTGGTTGCATGGCAGCGAAGCGCCGTTACGGCGTACAGCTGGCGATTTACTTTACTTATTTCACTTTACTTACCAAAGGACGTGTTTATTGTGCGACTGTCCGTGCTGTACTGTTTTACGGTTGCGGGACTTGGCTTGTTAGTACCGTTGACCTGCGCCGATTCTCTGTCTTCCAACATCGCTGTCTGTCGTCCATTGCCAGTGTGTGGTGGTTGCACCATGTAACCAATGTGGAAGTTAGACAGCGTGTCTTGGGTGGAGGCAGACACTCGCTCGCGGATCTCATTTCGCCGCGTCAGTTGTGGTGGCTTGGGCACAGTGCCCGGTGATCGTCTTCCGCGTCAGGCGTTGCTCGCGTTTACTGGACAGGGCTGGAGGTGATGACACGGCGGACAACCAACGACTTGGAGAAGTCACATGAAAATGCTGACGAAACTGTTGGCCTCGGTCGGTTGTTCTCGACTCCCTGCTTGGGATTTCGGAAATACAGAGTGTTGCTACTTAGAGACCCTGCAATTCATGTCTCAAGTTTGACTTCGATGGCGGACCTGTATCTCTGCATGTTGCGGTGATATCCGTTCCTTTCTCCAGTAAAACATTTCGGACCAATGTTTGCCTGACTTCCAACCCATATCCTCTCTTTCTCATGCCCATTAACCTTATTATATAAGAACGAACAGTTATTCCGTGACGCAAGGTTGTCTCTTTCTATGGTGTCATGATTACTGTTAAATAAATTACCACCGATAAAGGTGAAAGTCTACTGGTCGGTCTAGTGACTTGACATGTCTCATTCATGTTTGTTCCTCCACCGAGACGTAATTTGTCAGGTACCCAGCATCTCCATGGCACTGACCTCTATGGAAACTTCATGTACCAAACTCTCTCGCACTGTCTCGAGCTCTTCGGAAATCTAACGATGACCCCGTGACATAGACGTAATGTACGCTTTCGGAAATGAGATAACTACTTTTCTTAGTGGTCTAATCGGCTACTCTGAGTAGCTGCTTCCTGGCGAACAGGTTTAACGGCGTGTACAGCCCAACTTTGTACTTTGAAGGCGCGGAACATTCACCGATACATGCAACGAGTTGCATCACTTCATTCAGCACTGCTCGCGCATTAGCCTGATCCGGCGCAACATGACCTCTATCGTTTACGTGCTTGGCTGAATAACGGGGAATGCTACTCCTCCGCAATCCAAAAATTCTCATTTATTAGAATGAATCAAGGGAGGCAGAATCTGAGTAATGAATTCTTTTCGGTAATTCTCATCAGACTCAAACATTACATGATGAGGAAAAATGCTAAATGTGCCGGATTGGGCTGCGTATTGAACAGAATGTTTAATTTCACGGGTGCAAATCAATAAACCACAGGGTCATTGGGAGTGGCAAGTATGTACAGGGGAAATCACAGCCAAAGTTGTAGGCCACGGTAGAAGTAAAGGACGTACAAACTGTTTTTGTATGCACAATTCTGGCTTGAGGTTGCGGATGTATATAGCTTCCGCAATAGACAGAATCCGGAATCCGCGCGTGAAACATTCAGGAACAGTATAGATGACTCTAAAACCATTTTCCGTCCCTGCGTGACTGCACTCTAGAAGGTGAGATAAGATGGAACTGTGACTGGACCTTGCTTCGCCTTTGTAAAACCACTTTGGGATGTGTTCGCGGATCCTATGAGATAGGCGCCTCGTGGTACGACCCACGTATCATGCACCACAGGAGCACGGGTAATGATAAACAAGCATTGATGGAGTCACCGGAGGCAGCCTGTCTTTCAAAGGTTTTGCGAATAAAGGCTTGTTGTAAAATACTATGCGTAAGCGAGCCGCGCAATAGGTCTTTTCAACAGCGTCTTTCAGGCGTTTGGACAGGGCATCAGCCGCACTGTCGCCTTTGAAAAGAATATGCACAATTAGTTCTTTCTTGCGTACGTTCATCTTCGGTGGTTTTATCTTGCTTTCTTTCAAATGTTTGAGGATGAATTTATCTGGATACCCATTTGCTCTTAGCGCGTCGCCGATCCTCTACAATTCTTTGATGATTGTGTCCGGTGTGCAAATTCTGTGTGCCCGGAACGCAGGTGTGCGGACTAGATTTCGTTTGTACTGTATGGGTACCGCACTACAGAAGTTGATGTATTGTCCAGTCCAAGATGGTTTTCTATACACTGCTCTGCTGCAGGATCCATCGGCGTTTCTGATGATATCAACGTCCAGGAACGGTAGTCGGTCTCTGGATTCGTGCTCACATGTGAATTGTAGATTCTGATGCGCATCATTAAACGCTTCCAATAGTTTCACAGTCTGCGCTCTTGATTTGCAGAGTATAAATGTGTCGTCTACATAACGTATATACATCTCAACTTCCTTGATGTGCGTTCTTAATACTTTATACTCCAATTTTGCCATAAAGGCATCTGCTAGAAAGGGTCCCAATGGTGAGCCCATGGCAACTCCATCAATTTGACGATCCTTCTCCCCGTTAAAGGTGAACTGCACGTGTAAGGTGCGTCTAAGTAACAATTCCTTCAGGAGGTTTTCCGGGATATTTATAGGTACATTCCGTTGCCGTACTAGTTCACAGACATATTCTACTGTTTCCAGCAACGGAATGTTCGCAAACAGCGACTGCGCATCAAATGACGACATCCATTTGTTGTTAAAGTTCACGTCCCTTATCTTCTCAATGAACTCGAACGTGTCTTTCACGCAGTAACTGCAGACGGTTTTACGCAGCGGTTCCAGCTTCTCAACCATCCATTGATCTATCAAATGTTGCCGAGAGCTAACCATATTCAGTATGGGACGCATTGGAGCGCCCTCCTTGTGAAATTTAAATTAAACTGTTAAACTGTTAATTAAACTGTTAAATTAAACATTTTGTTCAATACGCAGCTCAATCCGGACTATTTAGCACTTTCTCGTCATCATGTAATCTTTGAGTCTGATGAGAATTACCGAAAAGAATTCCTTACTCAGATTCTGCCTCCCCTTGATTCATTTACGTTCTCAACATCTGTCAGTCATTTACTCGCTAGCACTTCCATGCCATACGTTACAGACAAGACAGAGTCGTTCAAGTAGTTGATGAGAATGCGCGGTCAAATCTCTCCTTGCGACCTTGCACTACGTAGTCTCTCTGGCACCCCATTTGGAATAAATGGCGCTGTATGTAGACACATTCAGCCAAGTTGAGAGTAAATTTCATGCAAAAATAGTGACTATGGTAGGCGTCGTTCTGTTTGACGCCTCTCAGGCACATGATTTTATGCAACCGTGTCACTGAAGTGTATTTTTCCGGTTCATAAACAAGTTCTTCTACCATTAGTTTCACTTTCTCGGGAATCATCATCATAAGCAGTTGCTCTGTGTTCTTTGTAAAAGGCGCCTTTTCTAATTGCCAGCATTTCGGAACCCTGCAATATGCGTTCTTCCACGTTCCCGTACCATCGACTCGATATTCTTTGATATTCTTATTCTACTGCAATCAGGATATCATTCGGAATGCGTCCAGCCATGAATACCATCGTTACCCCTGTCAAGCTATATATGAATATCATCTCGTAAACAAATAACTTATTGCTCATGTGACTAGCGACGGTGCTAGTGAGAGGTACTGGTGAGTGTTTACTCAGTATCAGTATTTGCACATGCAGTCATTCCAGAGGACCCTTCACTTTCAACTAATTAGTCTTAGTTTATGCCTTTCCACTTTTGTGTGTGTGTGGCCATTCTCTTCTACTCCCTTTTTACGCGATCACTCCTTTCCAGCTTGTCGCCCAGTTGGAGCATCAAAGCTGCTACGAAGCGGAACTACGCTGGCAACCACAACGTAAAGCGCACTTATTCCTCAGACCAACACTTCGGAACGCCCATTTTAATTCCACGCAACACAGTTGATGACCGATTGTCTTCTCTCTTTATGCCTGTTCGCTTGTGTGGATGATACTTTACCTTCCGTGGTCCTTCCGTTCTCTCTATGCGTTATTTTCTCTTTGTTTATTTTTCACGTTCTTGTTTTTTCACCCGGCTAGTTTGTACTATATCCGAGCATCGTGTACACATAAAATACATTTACACCCTACTGGGAGTTCTCATCTCCACCGGGATTGGCTGTCTTGACTTTTTTAGACTCGCTTCTGGAATGCACCTCCTATGTTAGCTGGCTGTATCTTGATGTGTTTGCTCAGAGCCCCCTACTCGTCCTGGCACTCTTTTACTCCAGTGGGATGAGTTGGTGCACTGTGTTGTATCCTTGGTAAATAAGTCAGCTTACGGACTTGCTTCTTATTTTGACACAGTGCGGAGAGCCCTGGGAGGCCTTTAGGTGTAGCCCGTTTTTTAACGCCAACCTATGCTCCAGGCTGCATGGGAGTTGGCGATCTGACGTAGGCATTTTGCTAATGTGATATGAGATTTGAAACTTCTTCACGTCCCGCAGATGATAGGTTATGTGCACCATTTAGTTTGCTACCTAAGGTCCTCCTAACATCACCTCCACCGGCGTTCTTCCGATAGCCCTGTGCTCACAAGTTCTGTAGGAAAATACAGCAGTTAATACAGCATCTTCACAATCCGACCCTCCTAATTGGATGGCCAGTATGACTTCCTTGAGGGATCGGTTTAGCCTTTTGACCATGCCATTGTCCGCAGGATTTTAAGGTGCAGTTCTGGATTGTTCTGTGTTATGGCACTGGGGAAAAACTGCGAAGGCATGACTACAAATTATGGTCCATTGTTCATTACTATTTCTTCCAGTAATCCGAAACGACTAAGCAAGTATTTAAGCCAGCGTAACAAAACAGAAATAGTCACCTGATCGCACATATGGATGTCAGACCGCTTATTGTAAAAATATATAGCTACAAGTAGAGTTCTCATATTCGTAGGAGCGGTGGCAAAAGGACCCATAATATCATTGGCGATCTTAGCCCACGGCTTCATCGGGTAACTAATAGGCTGTCTGTTGGAACTTCGACTGGCATCGAAATTTTGTCTGCTAAGGACGCGTTACAGATCATCACAAATGTCTCAATGCTATATGCCATCCGTGATCACCAAATGTGGTTTTCCGCTCGGTCTTTTGTCCGAACCATACCAGGATGACCGTCATGTGCACAAGCAATTATTTTGTTTACCAACTGACGTGGAGCTATAAACACCAAATCACACATTAGACAACCATCTATCACTAACAGTTCATCTCTAATTGCGCAATATGGAATGAACTCACCGGGAGCTTTGTTGTTCTTAAGCCATACCTGCTGCACCCATTCGCTGAGTTGATGTAGTAACGAATCGTTGGCATTTTCCGTTCGTAATTCCTCCATACTCAACGCTGTTAGGTCGGAGCCAAGGCTGGAAAATAATACTACCTATCTGGTTCTTTCCGTATCATCCTCTAGCCCCACAGGTAAGCGAGATAATCCATCAGCAACTTGGTTTTGCAAACCCGGCCGGTACACAATTTGAAAATCGTAGTTAAGGAGTCTAGCATACCAACGATCGATCCGCATTGGACGCGATCCTTTAGATCCATTGCTGAGGAGGACTGTAAGGGCGGAGTGATCAGTTCGTAGAGTGAAACGACGACCGAACAGGAAAAGATGCCATTTTTCACAAGCCCACACACAAGCAAGAGCTTCTTTCTCCCCAACTGAATAATGGCGCTCAGAATCTGAGAGTTTCCTGGATGCGTAAGCAATAACTTTTTCCTCTCCGTTTTGTAGCTGTGACAGAACAGCACCGAGACCAACATCAGACGCATTAGTTGACATACAAATTCAGCATGATTCATCAAAAATAGCAACTAAGGGAGCAGATGCAACCTTCCTTTTCAGTTAGTCGAAAGCGTTTTGCTGATCGCTTCCCTAAGTGAATGACACTCCTTTCTTTGTTACTTATCGTAATGGGCCGGCTATGGTGGCACAATTTTGCAAATAACGCAGCTTGTATGAACACATTTCAAAAATACTTCCGATCTGTCACCTTGGGTGTTGGCACTTATGTGATGGCCCGGATGTTTTCGTTTCCTGGGTGAATGCCGCCACGCGATAAGATGTGTCCCAGAAATTGAATCTCGGGAGCATTTAATTGACGCTTTTTGCATTCAGACGTAAACCAAGATCAGTGAGACGCCGAACGACTATGTGGGACCTTTCGTCATTCTCTTGTGAGCGGCCGAAAGCACAGACATCACCCATGTATGTGACCTGCCAAGGCGTGAGTCATGAACCTTTGACAGGTAACGTGCGTAGAACTCAAACCCATTGGTAACCCTTTGTCCTGAAATAAGCCATCGGGAGCAAGGAAGGCAGTAAGATGCTTCGAATCGTTGGCCAGTGTCATATGGGAAAAGCGGTTGCCCCAGCTAAACATACAGTGCGTTCTTCATTGGATGACGACACGAATCGCTCTACCACGGTCTGCTTCTCTGTCCCTGCAAATTGTTGCGTATCCTGACTGCGCCATCTTTTTTCTGGAACACCCACTCACAGCAGTCGATAGGTTCAATCAAATCATTTGCTAGCATCTCTTGAAGGGCCGCAGAGGCAGCTTGACGTTTTGCTAGCGGAATAGGCCGCGGTTGACCAATGGCAACGGGATTTGCATCGTCCTTCAGCTGAATGCGGTGCACACCACATGGAAAACGTCCGATGGACTGCTGAAAAAGCTTAGGATAACGTTCCTGCCAGTATGTCACGTTGACGGAAGAGACAATCATGCGGTCGAAAGATGGTAATACTTGCAAAGCCACCATGGCGTTTCTTCCAAGTAAGGGTCGCTTGTTGTTTGAAGAAATGTTCACTGCAACATCTACAGCAACCGAATGTAGCTGTAGTGGTACGATAATGAATCCCAATGAATCCCACTGTAACTCCGATATGAATGCGAAGTGGGCCGTAAACTATGTCGGGATAATTAGCGTTCCTACAATCGGAAAGGTTTAAGGGTAACTGGA